CGACGAGACTCGAACAGCGACAGACAAGACTGAGTTCAGGATACAGCACCGGCGAACGTACTCTATGTGTCTGGGAAGGTGGGCGGGAGAAGGAGGGGAAAGGAAAGAAGAGAGGCGTGTCAGCGGATCAGCAGACAGGCTGTGGGTGGTGGGCAGAGATTTTATTAAATAAATAAATAGTACCGAGTGAGCTGCAGCTACCGAGTGCATACGGCAGGCGGGATGGAACCGAACCCCAACGAACGCGGATAAAAATGGATTTAGCTATTTACCCTCATGCGGGTGGGAGGCTGTTGGTTCGCGGCTCCCCGAATTCGGCAAGCGAGTCGCATCAATAGCTCAGGTACCTTGTAGTCTGCCCGATTCCGGTATCTAAATGCTGGACACATCACACAGCCGAGCAAAATGTTTGTACATGCTCTCATCTCGGCGGACAGACTTACCGCATAGCCTCGGGTCACGTACCGCCGCTGCACTTGCGTGTTAGCGGGCGACTGAGGCCTCTGAACAGACGGAACCTGCCATGTCTCAGGCCACCAGATAGCCATATTACGTACAGAGAACTTGGTGGAGGTCGTTGGGGGGAACATATTGGGGAAGAAATTGCAGTGTTGTGCGTTCCTTTCCACATTGTTTTGGGTCCCAATGGCATTGCTCGTCGGCAATTTATTATAGCTTCTTTCCCCCCTTGCTTCTTTTAACACACCATCGTCTAATTATTATGCTGGTGGTAAGAAACAACGGCGTGTCTTCATTGGTGCGCACCGACTTGCCGATAACGTGCATTACCCCAGACATGCATGTATTTTGTGTAAGTATTCGTGTAGGTAGCTTGTACTATAATTATCTGCCTGAGGACAGATTCTGTCCAAACCTCATATCTACGGCAGACATGCATCCGTGCCTGATAATCCCACAGACCACATCAATTGATGAATGCCTAGCCACATCTTGATCCCCCCGCTCTGGAACAGGAGACTGCATAATATCCGGTCACCATGTGATTCTTCCATTGTCCTTTGGATGGACCCTAACCAGCCTCAGCAGGCGTACCAGCTGCAGCCTAGGCGATGACGTTGGTTGTCTATATTGCCAAAATCCTAAACGCGCGATCTACACATCATTCTCGGGCTGTGGGTGCCATTCATCAACCAATGAAGCCCAGCGTTGCGGTTCGCCTAGAGGGCGAAGGGCCTTTCTACGCCCCGCTGCCTTGACTTCGTTGTCATCCATCTTCATTCATTTTCAATGCTCTCCTCAGCTGGACTGGCCGCTGGGCACTACATGCTTCCGCCTCACCTGCCTGCGAGAAAGAGACAAAAGGCTGACATTACGCCTTGTACACAATGACTCAACCGAGCTTGGGATTCCTACCCAACAGTTCTTGCCTTGATGAGGGTGTGTGGAAGTTGAAAGCCGTTGGTGGAATTGTCATCGTTGGCCCCCCGTTTCTTCCCTAAATAAGGAATTTTCCTGTTGACGGCGTGTTCACGCCAGGGGGCAATTGTTCATGGATAGCCCGGAAGGCGAGCAAGCGCCTGGCTTACACGAGATCGATCTGACTTCGACGCGCTTCCCAGGTCCGCCACAGCGCTGGTATTGCGAAACTTGCCACGGTCTTGCATTCACATGGGGCGTGTGAGCCGTGAAGGTGGGGATCGATTGATGCACCGCGATGCCAGGATATCCTTCCCCGGCTGCTGTTGGCTATTCTGCCTATTGCCTGCCCTTCGGGGCCTGACCACATGAGCAAGTGTTGGTGTGCGTGATGGCGCAGCATCATTCTTCTCTGCCTTGAGGCGGCCCTATCGGTAAAGCTGAGGGTCCGTGACTCATTTTAGAAAGAGGAACCCCTGAACCATGACAGAGGGCTACCGGACAAAACTGCGTAGTGCGGTCGAGTCACCGGCCAGCCTTGTTGCCTATTCTCGAAATAGTCGCCGCGGGCAGAGCAGTGCGATCGTCATTTCTATTTGAAATGCCTCGCTGCCCAACCTTGCCAGCCTCGCTTGATTTGAACAACTTGACAAGGACCTCGACCGAATCATCTTGAGTTAAGTTGCTTACAAACATACCCAGACGAGCTTCCTTTCTGCCTGATCACGTGCACTCCCGTCGGCGTGGCTCGATCCATCAGCAGGGCGCGGCAGGTACATGTACACGGTACGTACCCGCCTCGCTTAGCTAAGCACAGCCGGCAAAGCCGCCCGAAATCAGCCAGGCCAAAGAGCGGCCTCAATTTATATGATTTCACACCATATTTTTCAGGCCATCATCACGTTGAGCGCGTGCGCATCATCACCGTTCATCGGCATCTGACTATTAGGCTGCATCCCCAACTCCCGGTGCGACCGGCCACAAATCCTCACTTTCTTTCACCTCTCCCTGCGCAAGCTTTTCTTTCTGTGCAACTCTTCTCTTGAGCTGGTTTTTGGCGCTATTTGCATTTCACCTCCCGGGCGCTCTCCGTCCGCCCGATTTTAACTTGGAGAGTTTCCGTCTGATAATCCGTCGACGACCCTCGTCGCGGGGCTGCGGGACACCATGAGTGTCGCATACGAACCCCGAAACTTCATCAACGAGGGCGCCTACCCGCCCATGGGAGATGAGCACGACCATGCCGACCAACGATTTACCGACCGCGATGTCGCCGAACAATTAAGCCACTACACCACCGAGGCCGGAATGCTGCCGGACGATAGAGATGTGATAGGAGATGACAGAGGCATGCTTCCCGAAGACGCTGCTGCTGTACAGGATGCCGCCCGGATCGATCTAACGGCGACCTTTCCCTCTCCCGTCCCAGTCCAGCTACCCCATCCGCAACTTTCCGTCGAGGCCTTCCCACCCAGCAAGGATCCCTCCCCGGGTGCCGAATCGAACTCGTCACGTCCCAAGAGTATTCCGAAACCGGATCGTGATGTTTCGAAGCAAGAGGATGGGAAGTTTCATTGCCCGCTTGACGAGTGCAAGGAGGACATTCGAGCGTTCTCGCGAAAATGCGAATGGAAGTATGTACATGCGCCAAGCCAAAGAACTTTCTTGAAGAAGATGCGCTAACCAAACTGATCTGTAGCAAACACATGGATAAGCACGAACGACCTTACCGCTGTCTAGTCGAAGGCTGTGAGAATCTGCCAGGCTTCACCTACTCAGGCGGTCTCCTACGACACGAACGGGAAGTCCATGGGAAGCATGGGGGACCAAAGAACACGGTGAACTGTCCTCACCCAAACTGCAAACGACATACGGGCAAGGGCTTCTCTCGTCAAGAGAACCTTAACGAGCACCTCCGACGAGTTCACACAAGCCCTGAGAATGAGGCGTCTCCTCCCGTTGACGCCGTGCAGTCCCCCGAAGAAAACGAGATGGAGAGCAAGCCGGGCATCAAAAGAAAACGCCGCTCTAGTGGAGGTATCAACAGCCACGGCGATGAACTCATGGAACTTCGCCAGGAAGTAAAGCGAGTCCGAGAGGAGAACGAAAAGCTAAAGGCCGAAATGGACCAGCAATCACAACACTCCCTCGCCATGATGACGCAGATTGCCGAGCTCCAGGACGCATTGCGACACGGCCTCGGGCAGAATGCTCTCGGTGCCCCAACAGCTCAGATGATCTAGGGGACCCATCAGCTAATGGAGCTCCTTGATCCTGCCCTCGTCGACATGAACCGTCTCTCGCCAGACACCACCCATGACTACTCCGAATAACATAACGACTTACCACGACTATTCTCACCAGACTACTTATTTTCAACCAAATTCCCCGTTACTTCAAAATGACATAGATTTTCTTTTGATATCATCCCCTCTCGCATCAGGTTTCGGCGTTCAGGAACAGAGAGGATCTCCACGATTACACATGTGACACTCACCCACGCAATATGAGATAAACTTTTTTGAGACGAGATCTCGCCTTCCCCTTGCACCATCAGTTTATGCTCTAGAATCTGTCTTCATATCTTTCCAATTTTCTTTTTTGCTTTTTTTCTTTTCTCTTTTCTTTTGATGCATACACCCTGGAAAATAGGGACGGAAAGACCACTCAGCAATGATATCCCCGGTTTAAGACATTTTTAATCCTGTGTTTCTATTATTCATTCTTATTCTGTTGTTTTTCCTCTTTTCTCCCTCCGAGAGAAAAGAGGAGATCGAAAACGAGGTAGTCATCCCAGGGATCAAAGTTACCCGCATCTCAACAAAGCTGGAAAGGTGGATTCGATGACTCAGGCTTTATCCTTTACTTGAATTCACCATGAAGCACCAAGATACCTACCTACCTATCAGCACTTTTTCAAATATGTACCCTCAGTCAAGGAGATCGGAGAGGGATCGTGGAATGGATGTTGCCCCAGTCCTCGCTCTGCTTCTTATTCTCATCACCACTTCCCCCATGTATAACTAGATAGACTCAAGTTCGTGCAAACGCCCTACTCTTCTTGAGGCATGTTCTTCTTTAATACAGTGATGCCTAGAGCATTACTTATTCACACGCTCCTGATTCAACCCTATCACGTCCCCAATTACATTTTCACTCACGTTCGTGCAAACGCCCTACTCCTCTTAGAGGCATGTTCTTCTTTAACAAAGTGATGCCTGGAGCATTACTTACTCACACATTCCTGACTCAATCCTATCACCTTCCCAATTGCATCTTCCCAATTACACCCTACCACACTCCGAATTAGATCTTACTACGTTCCTGATGACAACCTATTACATCCCTGCTTATATCCCAGTATGTTCCTAATCACACCCCATTTTGCTTATAACACTCTCTCTTTAGTAGTGATCACCTGGCGAAATTTTGCAGCCCAATACACTTCACAGACTCGACAAAGCAGGCAGGAAGGTAACACAGCCATAGGAAGTGGAATATATCCCAAGCAGCAACCGACGAGATCGTTTTAAGGCTGAATAAGACAAGAAATAAGCAAATTAATTTCCCCTTCGAAACACCCTCAACGACCATGTCTCCCCTCCAAACACCCAACTCAACAGCTACAGCCCCAGACCCTCCAGTGCCAGTTTCAGCTCCTTGTTCACAGAGGATCTCTTCTGCGGCCCGGCCTTCATCATTTTCTCCCTAGATGGCTTTTTCTTATACTTGGTCTTGATCATACGACCTGACGGCTTGCGCGACCCGCGCCTCTTCTTGTACCGGCGAGACGACGTGGGCATCCCCGGCCGGCGAGCGGTCTCCTGCCGCTGTGGTCCCAATCCAGTCCGTGAGAACTTGGCTCTCGGCAGGGTGGCTCGGGCCTCGAGGTACGGCGAGTCCTCCACCGCCCCGTCGGATCTAGGTGCAAGATCAGACTCTGCGTCCGGAGATCCGAGGGCCATTCCGGCCAGGCTTGTGAGTAGGGCGAGGTAGAGTGCGGCGTGGAACATGTTGTGATTGGGAGAAAGGAAAAGTGTTATGGCAAGAATACAGGAAGCAGGATTGGACAAGAAAGAGGTCTACTGAGCATATATGAACATCAAAGGGAATCCTCCAGATTTCCATTCCCGGGCCCTCCTTGTTTTATTACCCCCCATCACACCATAAACTAAATATAAAAAAACTTGTTCCAACATAAGATGCACGTAAAGTACCAAATCATCTTGCGTAATCCAAGCCACCAACAGTCATTATCTGTATAGCAGCGCCATAGAACATCCCAATGGGGGAATATGTTACAATGGTACAGATTCCTACGACGTGAGTAGACGGGTGCAGGGGCCGGAACAAACTTAAATACAATGGCAACGCCTCACCTCCTTGAAAAAAGAATGAATGTCTTTAGTGAGTGCGCATGTTCCCATGTTGAAATAATCTACGACGGCCGCGGGCGCATCGACAGGTGGTGCATCGATGAGTGCATGGGCAGTAGTTGCAGGGGTAGGCTCCCACACAGTAGCTGGTTTCGTGGTCTAACGGTCATGACTACAGGTTCTGATCCTGTCAGCGAGGGTTCGACTCCCTCCGAGACCTTCCTTTTTGCACGCTTGAACTAACAACCAAGGTATGTGCACTTCCTTTTTTTCTTCTTTCCCGCCCAAAAAGCCCAGAATAATACACCCAAAAAGGCATGGAAACTTCAACAGAAATAAAAAATGCTGGTTATACACTGAAACCTCCCACGTATGTATATATGTATAGGGTATACATCTCGTCTCCCCATGATTCCCACATAATGCAAAAAAGCCATGTCTATACAGTCCCATCATACATAAAACTGTTCCGTTTTCTCTCTCGAGTTCAAACAATTACCAGGTTCAGTAATTAATCTCTCCAGACAGACTAAATAGCCTGGACATAACTTGCAGGTACACTCCCAGTGACGCCTGCCTTCTCCACCTCCACCCAGCCATCACCAGGATCGTCCTTGACGAGTACGAACCGCTCTCCTTCGACCATACTATGCTCCGTTTCGCTTTGGGCAACGTACTCGTAAACCGCCTCGACATACCGAAGTTTCTTTGCCCCTCGTTTGGGCGCCACCGCCGGTCCCTGTTTCTTCTTGGCTGCTGCTGCTACTGAGCTGGCAGTCGAAGCAGTTGGCGATGGTATAGGGGACGCAGCCGCGGGGGCCGGGGCAGCGGTGAAGTCGACATACGCGGCAGGGACAAGTCCTTCTTTCACTCCGCACCTGACCTTGACCCAGCCAGAGCCATCTGTCGTCATGTCAGCCTTATTCGCCACACAGCCGCCCCCAGGAGAGGCTATGTAGGAGTCATGGTTTTTCCACTTACCGTCTTCATCAAGCAAGATGACATCTCTGCCTTCAGAGACCGATAGCTCTCCATCGCCGGTGGCGTCGAATGAGTACATCATTTTTCCTTTTTTCTCTTCTTTTGAACCTCCGTTCATACCGAAGCCAGCTGACTTGTCCGTAATATAAGCAGCAGGAGGCGGGGCCATTATCCTATTCTTCCGTACCGGGCCTGTGCTAGTGGTTGAAGAGACGCTCGGACGAGGCGCAGGTGCAGACTCCTCAGTGGGAGTCGCTGAGCGCCCGGATATTGAACGCTGCGCCTCGCGTGAGCTCAGCGAGTTCATGGTATTTGACCGACTGAGGTCTGGTCCATCAGAGGGATTAGAGACATTGGAGACATTGGACGTGGAGCCGGAAGCGACTGGTTTCAGAAGCTTGTTTGCGGAATCCTGGCGCTCTGCCTTGAGCTTCTTACGCTCTTCTTTGCTCTTCTCACCGGGGCAGTCAGCCGGCACCTTCATCTCACATTTGCTATGGCAGGTGTAGCCGCAATCCCGGCAATCAAAACCCTTTGCGCTGAGACCCCAAATGCGCTCGCCACAGAGATCGCAGTTGGTTGGGATCTTGAAGGTCTGACTCTTGAAGTTGTGGTTTTTTGCGCCCAGGGTGACGTCGCCCACTACGCTGGTGATGGTGGATGTCTCGACCTCGGCAGTAAGGCGCTGGCGATCGAGGTTGTGAAGAACTTCTTGCATTGTGAAAAGTACCTGGACGACTTCCACCTCGTCCTTCTTTTCGGCGCCGTCACGGACGCGCTGCTTAATGCGCTTAGCGTTTTCGACGTCCTTTCGTTTCTTATCCACTTCCCGCCTCAGGTCGCCTAATGAGGCCTTTGACTTGGTCAACATATTGCGCAAGTATATCGTAGCTGTAGCGTCAATCACCATGGCATCGTCGTCATGCCACACCGGGCTGGGCTCAAATACGAGATCCGAGGGTTCATGGAAGGCTCCCATATTGTGGCGAATGTACATCATGGAGTCAAGATGCGGCAGGTTGCGCTTAATTTGGGTCGATTGGTCTTTCATCATACCGTGTGATTGCTTCATCAAGCCGCTCTCCAACAACGTCGCCACCTCCCAAAGTCCATTCAGTTTCAAAGTACGGAATTCGTTGAGATCTTGTAAACTGTCCATAACTTCGGGGACGTATTCATGATAGTATCGCTCTTTGAGGCGGTTGGTAACGTTGATTGCAATCAGATATGCGTTTTTGGCATTGTTCATCTCAAAAACCTGTTGCTGGTACGCGCTCTGTGCCTTCGCCTTGTCATAGTGGGATTCCGACTTCTTGCGGCGAGCTTCGACTTCCTGGCACACGGTATCGTATTTGCCCTTGACCTTGCGTAGATCGGCATAGGACGAATCGCGTTCGCCGACAAGCTTGTCTGAGTATTCAACATGACGTTTCCGTAGCTCCTCGAATCGGGTGGCATATTGTTTCATGGGTTCGGCAACTTGTGAGACGAGACTATTTCCAAAGCGATCGTGCTCGGCAGCGCGCGACTCCAGAGTCGTAAGCTGGGTGGACCAAGTTGTAAGAGAAGCGCTATAGGGAGACAAGGCATGAGGTCAGTATGTTGAAAGGGATGGGCGCATGTTGGATGACAGCACAGAATGGTCCAGCAGGAGCCAGGGGTGTATGTTGGAGATTGCGCACCTTTCTAGGGAACCGGGTGTCATGGCCGGAGTGTCGCCAACGCTGAGAGGTGACGCCTTGCGATTCTTCTTCTCGAAATACTTCTTGGCCAGAGCAGAAAGCTTTGCAGCATATTCCTTCTCGATAACGGCCCGTTCGCGATAGAATTGTTGGATGTCGTCGAGCCAGGCAATGCCATGGCCAGCCCAGGCGCTGGCAGGCTTGAACCCATCCTGTGGGAAACGAGTCAGTCATTGGATCGAGGATTGAAATTGGATGTGTTGCGGCCGTCATGGACACTAAATGGACGGTCGGAGGGCACGGAAAGGGCACGGACTTTGAGCTCAGCTCCAAACGTGGGTATTTCGTCGACGGCAGCCATCGTGGGCAATGGTAGGAGGTGGTCGTGGTGGCAGGGAGCGATGGTGGTGGTGATGCCGTGTCGAGATCATACACCGAGGCGTGAGCGAGGGCGCCTCGTCTGAGACATCAATGTCTCTCTGTACGTCTCCCAAACCTAATCCTCGTGCTGGCTGCGCTTCGGGGCAGAGGGACACAGGGCGGTGCCGTGGGAGGGGACTGTCTGCTGGTGGCTTCTGTGGGGGAAAGACGCCGACGGCGATAGCCTAAATGGCCTCTTGGTTGGTGCCGGGCGGCGGCTGTGTCGATGGAGGGGTGAGTAAGACACGACTAGCGACTGTAAACGGCCAAAGAACCCAACTGATGGGTGCTGCAGAGGCGTGGGAGACGCGGCCCTTGAGCCACCTAAAGGATAAATTGGCACTAGAGAAACCGGGGTTCCTGGTCTTGGCGACTTTGTGGGTGGGCGGGAGGAATCTCCAAGACCTGTCAGGCCGTCTTTGTGTTGGTGTCAGTCGAGCAGCCACTCGGAAAGTATGTGAATATAATATATATACGCACACTGCGCATTTATATATATTGGTTCTGGCGGTTAGATGTTGGAGAGAGGAGATGGATGGCTGGGGAAGGAGGCAGGAGAAAGGAGGAAGTATATGCGAACATTGCTGGAGAGCAACTGTACACATTCACCTAGACCTGGGCTCGGAGCTCTGCACAAGACCACCACCTACTACTGCCCATGCTAGCAAGAAGGAATTCGTAGGCCCTGCACAAGTGGGAAGAATTGCTCACTGCAGCAGTGTGCACTGGCGCCTGTCTCCTCCACTCGCACGGAAGGTGACGACATCATCATTAATGCGACAAGCGACAGCTGCATCAGACAAACGGCAACAAGGACCGGGGTCAGAGGTTGGGCCTCGCCAGTGCTCCTATTCCTTTGCCGCAGGTATGCACGTCGTACGGAGTGCAGCAATTAGGCCTGCTCTAGCCAACCGCTACCCGACAAACCACAAGGGCGGCGCTACCTGAGACGGCCCTGTCTGCAAATGTTCCAGGTAGGATAGGGTAGGTATCCAAATTACGGGAGTAAAGGTCGTTTTGTTGACTGGCTGACAGTTTCCAACGGGCTGTCCTCAAATCGAAAGTTATCAATGCAGTAGTCAGCATAAGACGATTTACCCTTGGTAAATATGCGAGCTCTGTCATGATAAGCTACTACCTAGGGTCCGTTCATGTTGCCATCTTCTCGTCTAATCTGAGTAGCGGGTTGGTGTTCAAGTGACGAGGCAGATTCGCTGATTGCTGAGATAGGTCCCTCTGGAATAGAACCATCTCTCTTGTCTCCCCTTTTCTTCCATCTGCGATATTGTCTGTCCAACTGTCGCCCAAGACGACTCTGGCACGTAGCCTAATTATAGCCATCTCCAAGTTGGAGAACCGTAGCACGGGGATCTCGGCATTTGCGACCGATTGGTTCCGCCTTATTGAGAAACAGAGTCGCATCGATGCAATCATGGGTCATCCCGTTCCTAGACCTAGTCACATGTCCAGTTCCTGATGTCCGAAAACCATCTCTTTCTCAACCTCAGATCTCGCCTAGCCGTAGCCTTACCCCAGATCTCGCATCACAAGCTACGGGATATGTAGGGTAGCGCGGGGTCCTTTGTCCTCGCAACGGGCCATTGGGTCTGGCTTCGCCTGTTTTCGGCGGGTCACCCCGTCCAGACTTCCAAAGACGTCGAGATCAATGGCTGGGGGTGGGCCTGGGCGAGGTCCGTCTCTTGAAAGCGCGAGTCACAGATCCAGACAGCATGTTAGCTGGCCCTTTTCCCCGGAGCCTGCCCTGTGCTGGGCTGTGGTGCAGAAGCTCGGCACGGCGCCCCGGCAAGTAGTGGGAAATTGCCGTGAGATCACATCATCCCAGAGACCCAGCTCAAGCCAGACGAGGTGATACTCCACTCGCTCTCTCATGATTCTTATTCTCAATTGAGCTCCTCCCGAGTGATAACGTTTCTCTTCTTGCACCTCCCCTTCCATCACCATTGCAAATCCAGGGCCTGTGTCTGCGTCCCCCAGCCCAACTAAAGAAGAGCCTTTACCTTTTCAGGAGGACCCCTTTCATTGCATCGTGAAGAAATTTGGGTACACGCGTAATTCGTTATCTACGTTGCTATCGAAACCAGCCAAAAGGGGAAACAGAACAGAAGCCATGTCTCTCACCTTGCAAACCGCCATCCAAGGCAACCCGGCCTCCACGGCCGTCATCATCCCCTCGCGACCGGAGCCTCTTACCGTGTCCTACGCTTCGTTAGTCTCCCAGGTCGGCGCCTTTCAGCAGAAGCTGGCCGATCTCGGCATCACCACCGCCTCCCCCGTGTCCATCGCCCTCGTCAACTCATGGGAATTCATCGTCTCTTTCCTGGCCGCATCGTGGCAGCGCGGCATTGCGGCTCCTCTCAATCCGGCCTACAAGCAGGACGAGTTTGAGTTTTACATCGACGACGTCAAGAGCGCCATTGTCCTCGTCCCCAGGGGCGCCTGGGCCGCTGGCGCCCCCAGCGTTAAGGCTGCAAAGAAGTTCAATGCTGCCGTCGCCGAATGCTACTGGGATGCCGCTAAAGGCGAGGTTGTTCTGGATGTCAAGGACCTCGGTCGTCTCAAGGGGACTAAGGAGAAGCTGCTCACGGCCGAGCCGGATGATGTGGCCCTCATTTTGCACACCAGGTGAGCTATCTGAATTGTTGATTTATCAATCTTCGCATACAATAATTGACGACGTTGCTAACACATTCAAAGCGGTACTACGTCGAGACCCAAAGTGGTATGTCGTTGAATCTTGGGGAAGACAATGTCTTAAAGTACAAGCAGGGCTGACGCCAGTGATAATAGGTTCCTCTCACACACCGTAACCTCACACGCACCATGAGTGAGTTCCTTCCTTTTCTTAAATTAAAATTCTCTCATTCACCTCTACGGACGGATCTTGTGCTGCTGAGATCATGGACTGCCGCTGACACCAGCCAGGAAATATCCAAAACACCTACCAGCTTACCCCCCAGGACCGCACCATGCTGGTGATGCCCCTGTTCCACGTCCACGGTCTCGTCTGCGGGCTTCTCGCCCCCTTCCTCTCTGGAGGCTCCATGGTAGTCCCCTCCAAGTTCTCCGCCTCGGACTTCTGGCGTGACTTCACCACCCACGGCGCCAACTGGTACACAGCCGTGCCTACCATCCACCAGATCCTCCTCAAGAACCCTCCCCCCAGCCCCAAGCCCGCCATCCGCTTCATCCGCTCCTGCTCCAGCCCCCTCTCCCCCACCGTCTTCCACCAGCTCGAGAAGACCTACGACGCGCCCGTCCTCGAGGCCTACGCCATGACCGAGGCCGCCCACCAGATGACCTCGAACCCCCTGCCCCCCGCCAAGCGCAAGCCCGGCAGCGTCGGCCTCGGCCAGGGCGTCGAGGTCCGCATCCTCAACGAGGCGGGCGACGAGCTGCCCCAGGGCCAGGAGGGCGAGATCAGCATCCGCGGCGAGAACGTCACAAAGGGCTACCTCAACAACCCGTCCGCCAACGCCTCCTCCTACACCGCGAGCGGCTTCTTCCGCACCGGCGACCAGGGCAAGCTGGACGAGGACGGCTACGTGGTCATCACCGGCCGCATCAAGGAGCTCATCAACAAGGGCGGCGAGAAGATCAGCCCCATCGAGCTCGACAACGTCCTCACGCGCCACCCCAAGGTCGGCGAGGCCGTCAGCTTCGCCATCCCCGACGAGGTCTACGGGCAGGACATTGGCGTCGCGGTCGTCCTCAAGCCTGGCGAGTCCCTCACCGCCGACGAGCTCAAGGCCTTCGTGGCAGAGAAATCCGTCAAGTTCAAGGTCCCCAAGAAGGTAACCCTCTCCGTACCCCTGTCTCGTTCTATGCCCCTGTCCCGTGTTCCATGGTGCAACGTCTGGATAGGGCACCTGCTATGATGTCATGAGTAAATTGCTGACAGCTCGATAGGTCTACTTCACAAAGGTCATGCCCAAGACGGCAACTGGTAAGATTCAAAGACGTATCGTCGCGGAGACGATGGTGAAGCAGGACGCCCCCAAGGCCAAGCTATAGAGGCGCACGAGAAGTGTACGGATCGTCGCACACAGCGAAGCAGGACAGTGAGCGTAAGATACGCATGTATATATTATAGATTCATCATGACGGCTTTCATAATCCCAATATATAACCCGACGCCTTAAAGCTGCTCTAATGTTTTCATTTTGGAACGAAGGTGACAAACAAATAAGGTTTCATCCACACCCTTCCGATCAGCGCAGTCTTTGGCGATCCTCGGAACCCCCCGAACCCGGCCAATCTCCCATACAGATCAAATAATCGCCACTGCAGATCGGCCATTCCCCCTTCTCAGTTCCGTGCTGGGCTCGCTATCTTCTTGGGCACCACGTCGAAGCCCTCGACCCAGCAGCTCAGCCCCTCGGGCGTGTCCCACCGCAGCGGCTCGACGGGGCAGAAGAAGTGGTTATCCGGCCCCGTAGTGGACGATTTGCTGGTCAATGTGACGCCATGGGAGGAGGCCTGCTGGAGGCACTCGTTGTTGGCGTCCTGCACGTCGGCGAAGACCTCGACGATGCTCGTGGATCTGGTGTCGTGCTGGAAGAGGATGTAGACGGTGCGGTACATCCTTGCGTTGGTGCTAGTGCCCGCGCTGATTTTCGATATAGCTTGAGTGGTGAGCGACATTCCCGCGGTATCGTCTCTCATGTTGTCTCGCTGGGAAGGCTGGTTGGAGGATTGTTTGCTCTTCTTTCCATTTGTACGAGATTGTTATGGGGCCAGCATGGTCGGTCGTCTATTGTGGTTTTGATGGAAATATTTCTTGTTCTCGACGGCGTAAGCGCTTGTTATCTACTCATGCGCTGTGAGGTCAAGGCTAGTCGCAGGGTCTTCGTCATTGCAATCAGGATCGCCGCCGGCTCTCGCCCCCGACGTCATCGGGCCCCGGGTTCGAGGAAGATTTTGGGTTGAGGACGGGCGAGTCGTGTGCCGCCAGCCTGGGCTGTTGCTTCTTTTTTTTAATTTTGTTTTTGTTTCGGGAGTAGCACGGTCTGCAATGTGCCTAGCTGCCACACACCCACACGAATTCCGATTTGCTGGTGTAGCGGGTGAGTTGTCGCATCATCGACGGATTGGGATCCCGTATTCCACGATCAGCGGAGCTTGTGTTACCACAGAAACGGTCGAGAAGCTCCGGGCTGGGGTGGTTTTTTGTCATATTTGGAGACCGTCGGAGGGCAATGTTTCGGAGCTTTCAGTCCACCGCATCATTCCTGCGGTGACTGCCCGGGGGCCACCCAAGATGGTTGCATGTGGTTAGGACCCCGGTGAATGATGATGTCGGAGAAGAAGTATGACGGCTTAGAATTAAGGTGCCCTTCCCGGATAGTGTGAGCTGGTCCCGTCCATACTCTTCATTAACCCCCCATAGAAGTCTGGGTTAGGCCGTACTCCATTTTGGCTCGGCGTACCACGTATTTTCCCCCTCTTTGGCTGGGATGTTGAACATGACGCCTTGAAGGGGGGGTTGGGAGAGTTAGCACGAGAAAAACCTTTGGCATCCGGAATGCGGCCTGGGCCGACTGCTGGCTTCTCCTCGACAATTGTCCATGGCTATGGTCCTGCTGGGTGTTGGTTGTGGCTTGAGAAGATGACAGCTGGGCCGAGTTCGCAATGACTAGAAAGCCGCGTCCCAACTATGAGCCGTAAACAGGAGCTCGTGACCGCCCAGGTGACATGGGAATGACAGTTATATTTCTCATGTTGGGTAACAGTTTGACACAGGAATAACGTAAGTTGAGGGTAATTGGCCGCCTGAGAGCAGAAATGGGGGGACCCTTGGCATTTAAATATATGAGACTTTTATTGCAGGAACAAATCAGCGCTCTTTCCCCAGAGAGCATGTTCCCTGACTTCGGAAAAAGAGGAGACGAGGTTGCTAAGTATATCGAAAAGGCCAAGCAAAGTGGACCATGGGACCAGTTGGGGATGGCGTCGTGGGACAGATGAGATTGATAAGATTAAAGAACCACCGCCCCAAAAAAAGAAAATAGTCCGAAATGCTTTTCAATGGAATTGCGCCATAATTGTCTCCGTAAACCGAAATTAGCCGAAATTGGTAGTTCTAGTAGGCTTGTTGTTGGGATGGGTTGACTAACATGCACTCATACAATGTATTGGATACCACCTGTCTAGCTCAGGTGAGGAATCAGATACGATAGATAATCCCCTCTGCTTCTAGACGCTGAGAGGACTACTGCTTGCTATCTCGGGGGAAGGATCCGAGATAATAGAATCAATCGGTGAGACTGAGAAGGGAAGGAGAAAGGAGAGTTGCAGAAGCCGGTCCGGGGAAGATAAGGAACAGAAGCTAAAAAGAAGCAGTCAGAAAGACGGTATAACCAGCGCCACTATGCCCACTTGGATCGGTGAACGAGGTGCTTTTGCATGTTGTCAAGCGGTACTAAACTAACGACATGTTGGAACCGGGCCGGAGTGGACTCTTCCAGCAAATACGTAGAGCAGGACGGCAACTGCACCTGAGACAGACGTAAGAATGAGGACAATGTAGATTGACTGCGCTTCACCTGTGGGGAAAGGTAGATGCACGATGCAGCACTGTAGCCAACCAGTGCTTGCGTGCTTGCAGGTCCAATACCAAGCAACACCGCATCGTAGGTGCCCTTTTGCTTTCCCTTCCCAGCTGGGCCGGTCGCCCTGCATGGGAAAATTTGGCAGGTTCGCGTGACTGGCCCCGGTCGGGCAGCCAGAGAGCGTGCTTGGAGCTTCGTCACTCAATCCCACACGACTAGACCTCGAGAGGAGTAGCTCGTGGGGAGCCACTCAGCCTCGATGGAGTTCTCCATCCGTTGCGCCCTACATGGTGGCACCGGTACCGGTACCTGTACCTGTACCTACGCTTGTCGGATCGATGTCATCATTTGGGTGCATTGTATCAGCTCGAGGGGCCGTTGCAATTCGATTTGCGAGGTACCTGCCTACCGGTTCAAGGCTTGCAGTACAAGTTGTCGCGGCCTCTCTGGAGGCAACCTGGAAGGTACGGTAATGCAGTCCACGGATTGTTGGGAAAGCGCGACTCCTGAATCACTTAATACTGGATCCAGCCTCGATCCATTACCTCTTCAATTGTCCCGTCTTCCCCCACCCCTGCCGCATTGTTGCTTCTCTGTTACTTCACTCCATTCATATCCATTTTGCTCTCGCTCAGGCGATAAAGAGCATCCTACCGGTTCCAGATCATCAATCAACAAGCGATCATTCTGCTGAAATCCCAGGCTATCTGTCTTGCCAGCTGGTGCCTGTCAATCGACCCCTCTACGCCCGCACCCAGCTCCGCCGATCAAACCCCCGCCAATCCTTTCCTGGGCTCGACGGACGGTGTAGCCCAGCCCGCTTATCGCCCTGTTATCAGCGTCCGTCAGCGGTCTGCAGTGCTCAGATATCCGGCCGAGCACCGCCATCGACTGTCTGTCTGCTCGTTGCTCAATAATTTTGTCGCGATGGCCCGCTTCGTCGATTTAGGGGATAGTGACGATGACCAGGCCGCTGCCGAGTCTCTCTCTCAGCAGCACCTGCATCCCGGCGTGAATGCGATTGGGCTCAATGGCAAGGGCCTGGCTGTCCACAACGGCTCCGATAGGGACCAGGGCAGCCAGCCGCCGCCCGAACACCCTCCGAGGATACAGAACCTCACCACAATGGCGTTCGCCTGTTATCCGTATTCTTGACCCTCCTAAAACTGTTGCTTCGTGACATTGGAACGAAGTATACTAAACCTTTTTCTGCAGCGTCGTCGCCGCCATCGTCTCCCACATCGACTTGAACACCCTGGATTCCCTTGCCCGCACCAGCTTCTTCATCCATGCTGCGCTCATCCAGTACCGTCAGGTTCTCATCAATTCGACTCTGCACTGCTCCAACGAAGACGTACCGGTAGATCATGACCAGGTCTTTCGTTATCGTGCCAGAGCGAGTAATTGGGAATACATGCAGGAGGATGGCCGCAACTACGAAGCCAAGTCCGGCGATTGCGCCCGTGACCTAGTCGAGCCATGCCGACGATGCAGTAAGGTTATTTGCCGGGTAAGTTGTTGATTTCCTCTTGGCCCTTCTCCTACTTGAAAGGAAGTCAAATATCGAAGGACAATGCTGAGACGGTGTATTGTGATAGAACTGTGCAATTAAGCCTCCGGCTCCGGTCACTTTACGTGAAAGACATCGCAGATTATGTAGCCCCTGCACCCGCGCCCCAATTGCGACTCTTGCGAAACCTCCTCTGGACCCATCGCTTCCCCTTGATGCAGAAGCGGTACAGAGAGCTTTATGTCAGTGTGATAAGCAAGGAGTTTGGCTCTGTCAACCCTGTGGCCGATCCATTCGCGGTGCCGATAACGAGTACCATCGGTAAGTTGTCGTAGTTCCTAGCCGGATCTTCAGCCTGACCCCCAAACCCGTCCATCCTCTCTAAATTTGCTTACACTTTTGGTAGCATTTGGCGCTGGCGCAGCCAGTACGGAGAAATCTTGGGTGGCCTAGGCACTGGCATTGGGGAGGGCGATCGCGGTGTCATCTGCGGTCGTGAGGCTGATTGCTGCGCTGCCAAGGAGCGTGAGCAAGAAATTGATTGTGATGCTCAAGACGCCAAAGATAATGGTCATCTCGGCTCATGGGCTGACGTCCAATCCGCCTCATCAAGCTCGACTCCCAGTCCCTCTGGAAGCCAGCACAGCCTGAACCCACTTGAGCTGGTTCTGGAAGACTACCGCCAAGAGCGTACCCCTTCGCCACAGCTGCGTACGGGTTATGAGAGGCATGAGATTGAGGGAATCGGCGGCGTCGTAAAGCGCAAGCTTGTGCGCATGGTCCGTGTAGGCGCCTGTGTCCCTGACTATGAGGATGAAATTGGTCCAGGCAAGAAAGCACTTGGCCGCGAAGTAAGAGGCGAACGCAGGAGTTGGTGTGGGTGGTGCTGGAGAGCGATTCCAAGCGAAAAGGACTCTCTCTCCCCTTCAACAGGTAAGAGTATGAAGTGATGGCTTTATTTCTCGTTTTCATTTTGGTTTTTATACAAAAGGCGGTCTGATGTTGAAAGAGATGGGCATGTGGAAAACTGGTTCAATACGGTCTAGCCAACCTCTTCAATGCGTAAAAGTGAAAGATGAAACTCATTCCGAATGAGTTCATAGTAATACCCGTACATGTCATTTGACATGTTCTAGATAAACATAATTAATGAATGAATATATCTCCAACTCGTGTGACACCTTAATTTGGTGACATTCCTGTTTAACGGTGAATGGGTTTTACCAGTTCTGCATCTGAGAGACAAACATTCGTTGAAAGAAATAAAATGGCCATATATCATTTATACAGTATGCATTTTTTGAATCATTCTACACGTGGCACATATCCACACATAATTATACAGAATGAGGCTCTCTCAACCGTCCCACCCTCGCACCACCTTGCCAGGGTTATCGAGCTGGCCTTCGTCGATTGATTAAATCTCGCCCCGATACAGCATCTCCGCTCTCCTCCCACGGTCTTCCCTGGCCTGTGTCTTGATGGGACCCCATCTCTCCCGGCGCCGCTCCGCCTTCTCCTCGAGCCACTTCTTATGCTCCGCCGGTGCCGGGGCGGCGATGGACACGATGATGGGCGAGCAGTTGAACTTCTTGGACAGGGCGTTGGTGCTCCACGTCAGGGGGTCCTCGTTCCTCAGCCTCCGCATCTCGGCCATGTCGTCCTCGGTGAGGTTGTACTGGGCCCGGCGGCGCGGGTAGCTCATGGCGGGGGGCAGGTCGGCGTCGTCCTCCGGCGAGGCGGCGCCGGCGACACTGCCGAGGGCCTCCGGGCTGGCGAGGCGCATGCGCTGGATGGCCTCGCGGCGGGGGTCGTTGGCGGGCAGAAAGATGAAGGGGGTGTGCTCGGGCGAGGCCTCGGACGAGGGGGGGTTGTAGATGATGTGGTCGGCGGCGGGGAAGGGCTGGGATCGGCTGGGGAGGAAGGAGTCGTGGGGCGCGATCTTGAGGGCGCGCTTCGTCCTCGCGGTCGTCTTGTGGCCGCGGGATGTGGTGAGGGGGAGGGTCTGGCGGGTGGTTTTGAGCAGCTGGGTCGCTGGGCGGGAGAGGGTGCGGACGTCCATCTTGTGGTGTTCTCTAGCTTGCGGTGCTCGAGGCAGCTCCGTGGTCGTATAGGGAATTGGGTCGTGATGGGTGTTGGTGAAGAGGAGCTGCTGGCACAGAGTCGATTGGCTCGTCTACATCACCTGGGGAGTGTATGTGGCCGCGGATCCAGGTGTGTCGTGTGCTTGCTCCTCCGATTTGGTTCGAAATGCTGGCCTAAAACAGTCGTCTAAAGTTTTCGCGGTCTGGAAGGGTTCGTTGACACTGATTACCTAATAAACGGTCCGGACCGGATCCCTGAGGCATCACTTTCTAGTGGCCATGTACCCATGTACCTCAGATTGGGGTCATGTGATGTCGCACGTGAACGCCGTCGGTCTAGCACAATGCATCACGGGGAAAGCAAAAAGTCCTGGGCTCTTGTTGTGCGCCACGGCACTAGTCTCCACCAATCAAGGGGACCAATGACGTAGTACCAGAAAGCTGGTCAGCAATGGGCATTGTTGATCTTTCGTGGTTGAAACCACTAGTCTGGCGTTTCGTGGGATCTCACAAATGTTTCGGATTTCTGATGAATGACCCTGCATGTTGAAATATCATACGCAGATAGATAGAGCTTGCAGGAGATTTGCGACTGCAGTTGTGCATCTTGCTGGCGGATGAGACAGTTCTGAGATGAGAGGTGCATCCCAGCTCCCCCTTGGGCTGACGAACGACTTACACCAGGGGGATAGCAATTAGTGGCGATGGTCATGTGGATTTTCAATTGGTACGCGAGACATGACGAGTCCTCAAGGGCAGAAAATCGAAAATTACCTCTTTGCGGTTAGGAGAGGGAGGGGGATTTAGATCCTCTCCTGAGGAGCTCCCAGTCTCTCCAATGAAACCACCTGAGCACTTGTCGTGAGGGGTTTTTACTTTCCGCCGTCAATGCTGTAAGCTCCCAACCCGAGGACGAAGATGAGCTGGTAACACAAAGGGGCCAACTCGTTTTAGGTCGCATGAGTGTCGGTGCTCCTTTACTCATGCCGCACAATGCCTTGACCGGCTTGCTATGCGGGATGCTGGTCCAGTCAGGACTTTGGATGGCATCATTGTTGGCGCCGGCAGTACTTTGATGTAAGCCCTACCGGATCTGGCAGGCAGGATCTGAACGGCCGCGGATAGTGAGGGTTTGTTTGGTCAGGCAGGGCAAGTATTTTTTTCCGAATGGATACGCGATATGTAGCTAGCAAATTGGGGGTGTCACAAATCGGCCGAGGCCCGGCTACTTGCAGAAATAATCATAATATTGCATCAGGTGCCGTCAGGTGCGCCATCACGCACGGGTTGATGTGGGAGATGGGCGGCAGGATGCGCACATCCAGACGCAGACCAGACGAGACCTCAAACATCGGGTGCGTTGAGGATCAGTTCACGTTACCCTGTCTGCCTGTCTCCCGCATTCTCACTTGCCTGGGTTTGCGTCTCTGATCGACAGGATGATATGTGAGCGCTTCCAGGAGCAACCAGCTCAGCAGAGAGCACAGACAGCAACAAGCAAGGAAAGGTACAAGTTGCGCGCAGATCAGGTGTCATGTCATTCACACCCTGGCCTGGACTGACACACACCAACTGTGCTAACAGACGCACACGCCCCGATAAGGGGAAGGAGTCGAGAGCATATTACTGTCAGGAACACTCCTCCTGAGTTGGTTTCTATCTGCTTCGTCCCCCAGTAGACTAAACGCAAACATGGGAGACGCTCCGTATAGGTAGACGAAGGTACATGCGGCAGAGCGTAAGGGGCAATAGAAAGAGAGGAAACCTGGTCTGGGTAGTTTGAGAAAAGCAACGACGGTCCCTCATCGGGCAAGATCAAAACAGAAGAAGCAAACCTGGACTCAGTTGGGCCGAGCAAATACTCTAAGCGAGACAGCAGACGCCGCCGTCCTGAGCCAGTGCCAGAGCTACAGGCAGAGGGCAGGACCGCGGGCTTGAGCACCTCAGTGGGCACATCAGTGGACAGTGGGCCTGGTGCAGCAGCAGTTGCTAGCGCCCCCCCAATCGGGTCTCCCATCGCATTGCAAAGTGTCAAGTGCTTCTGGGCTGCGCCAGAAGCCAAGCCCCAGGGCAGGGACGCAGCTACCTTACCTTAGGTCCCGTCTGCTGCTCGTCATATTTTTTCATTACATTATAACGCCAATAATTGCCTGCCTTGCCTGATCTGCCACCTCTTCTTCCTCTTCCTTGACTCGACCCTCTCCAACACAATTTCCCTCCACTGCTTCGCCTCCTGCGTCGTCGTCATTCCCCCCCTTTGTGCCTACTCCTCATACGGTTGGTTCCCTTCATAGTTGGCAGGGCAGTGACACATGGCCTAGGCCCTTAGAACCTTATAACGGATCCCGACTCGCCCGCGTTGTTATCACCTGCCACCCTTCCTCTAACACCGAGAGGGGATCAATCAAAACTCGCCTCTGCGATCGCCACAAACGCTCGGTCGTGACCTTGCGTGATCGATACGATACCCAGACCAGCCGGGGAAATTCGCATCTTGCGTTTTTTTTTGTGCATCGCTGCAATTCATTACCACTTCTCCTCTCGCCCACTGCTGCCAGCCTCCGCGCCAGTATAGCACCACCCAATAACGTCATACCATCCCTATCTACCAGCATGGCCGACTCCAGCAGCCAAGGCGACTCGACACCCCGTGCTGTTGAGGGATCAGGGTCGGAGGACCAGGTAAAGGGCAAGAAGCGAGGCCTTTTTGGCTTTGGAAAGAAAAAGACAGGTTCCTCCAAGTCTGAGTCCAAGGAGGACTCGGCCCCGACCCTTCTCAGGGAGAGCTCCAAGCTGTCCTCGGCCACGCAGTCGACCGAGCAGCACACCACTGCACCATCCTCTCCGAGGGCTCTGAGCACCTCTCCACGGCTCGCCTCTCCTGCTCATTCCCAGATCTTCGAGCGAGACGTCCAGGACAGCACGATTCCTCAAGACAATTCCTCCGCCATCCCGACACACATTCAAACCGAAAACCACATTCCTCCGGTTTTGGACGACGCCTCTGAAGCCATCACAAACAATAAGCTCGACCCCGATGCGGTCGAGATTGTTACACACAACTCCCACCAGCCAGCTGCGCTGACCGTGGCAGCGACCAGCCCAATCTCGCCACTGGTACCGTTCGAGCTGCCTTCCAGCACCGAGTGGGCAGACGAGCTCAACCTTTTCACCAACCGACAAGCTACTGCCACATCAGACAATGCATCCAACTATGGCTCACTTGACTCGGCCGATGTTCGTCGACTCTCCTTCATCTCCTTTGCAGATGTCGTCCAGTCTGAACACGGAGTTGTGGGCGGTGCGAGCTCCCGAGATAGCATCCACCTCGCCGGGCTCACCTCCCTTCCCTCGGCTCTCAACCGTTCGCCATCTCCGATCCGATCGCCAGTTTCGAGCCAGGGACCAGGGACGAGCCCACCAACGAGCAACCCAGGCAGCGTGAAAGGCGTGGAGATGAGTCCCTCTCGGAAGCCACTGGGTAGTCCCAGAAGTGGAAGCCAAAACCTCAACATGTCGGGAGAGCTGAACATTGAGACTATGTCCCAAGCTCTGCGAAGAACCGGAAGCTCTGACTTCAGCAACTTTCGAAGCATCCCCACCAGCCCCGTCGAAGAGGTTCTGTCCCGGTGATCAATCAATCTTGATCTCCAGATAGTGATGCAAGCCTCACCACCCCAAGTACGAAAACGATTGCTGTAGTGCACGACTTGAAGAAACTCGTATTAGCAACATAGCACCATTTCTACTTCTACTTCTTCATCTTCTCTTCTTGGTGGACCCTTTTTCTTTTTATCTACTACAATTGTTCTTAAAGCCATCTTTTGATGGAGGAGTTGGGGATATTGGACTGGAGCCGTTATTTAGTTTTTGCCTTGTTGAGTGACGTATTACGACGTCTTTCGGTGAAGGAGGTATGATCTCGTCCTTCACCAACTTTCTTCTCTGCAACTCCTGATCAGGGGTTTGCCCATTACTCTCCTGTTTGCGGGGGACATTAATCATGTTTTTAGGCGTTTTCTTGCGCAAGCATTTGGAGGACACAGAGAGCTGGAGTTTTTGAGAAACTTGAGTCAAGAGATGGGTGACTGGCTGGACGGAGTCGGTTCATCGTTTACATACAAGTCTTTTTTTGACATTTCTTTGAAGCCATCATTCCTGACAGCAAAGTGCGTGATTCCTTCTAAGGCACTGTGTGAAACTATACCAATCTGTTGAAAAATCACCATACCTGGGCAATTCCTTCAACCGACTCGCGAGAGCCGGGTGTCCCGAAGTGGCATGAATTTACAAGGACCATCCATTGAACGGTTCGAACCATTACCAAAAAAGCACATTATGGCCCCCACTGCTTGAAGTTCCTGGCGGTTCCAGCATCTCCGACTGGTACAGGGCCTAGGCTTGCTCTTAATACGGAGAGCGTGCGGTTGTTATTACATAGTTGACAGCTCATACACGGCGATGATCATCAACGCATTCTAGAAACACGAGCGGTAGAGCAGGTGGTCGGGGGAGGGGGGAATTGCCAACGCGAGGAGGTCATGCCAGAAAATTGCCTGCATGCCTGCTAGCACGCTCCGAACCAGATTGCGACCTGTTATTTTTGTCTCCGCGAAGCATTATGACGGCGGGGAGGGCTATATCAGAAAGGATTGGTAAGAAATTTCGGGATGGACATCTCACTGAGGGTATGACACGCGGGATCCCTGGCCCTCGGCATGCAGCAGCAGCTGGCTGGGGTTGTTTCTGATAGTGATCAGAAATAACGTCTGAATGGGAATAGACAATTAATTTTTTTTTAATTTACGTTCATGTGCGTGCCACGTTGTGCATGGCATGCTGCCCTTGGGGGGAGGGGCGTGGAGTGGTTGTTTTTCAATCTCTTTGGTCAGCAGACAAGCGAAGGGTAGAAAGGCAAGGGGAGATCCCAGGGGTGGGTAGACAGATCCCGGGGGCCGGTATGCTGGTAAGCTTTGTG